TTAAGTTCCGAGTTTTATGGTTAGCCTGAGGTAAGCCTTACGGTTCTACTAGGCAAATATTTCTAAATATTTTATAACTTAAGTGCATAAGTTTCTACATGACACAGGCAAAATTTTCTCTTGCTGAGTGACAAGATAAATTCTATCACAAGTCGTGTGTGTATATACATATATATATTTCCTCTACGTATATATTTGCATATTTAAATCTATATTACACTCCTCATTCTCTAATGGGGTGGTCCTCACTACATAAATCTGCCTGGTACAACACACTTAACTCACACAATGAAACACAGAAAGCATTTCTTTTGTAATCCACATTTTCAAGCACTTGCCACAAGAACAAAGAACAAATTCTGGGCCAGATATGGTGGCTCATGCCTGTAATCCCGATACTTTTGGGAGGCCAAGGTGGGAGTATCACTTGAGGTCAGGAGTTCGAGACCAGCCTGGCCAATATGGTGAAACCCTGTCTCTATTAAAAATACAAAAATTAGGGCTGGGAATTAGGGCTGGGCACAGTGGCTCACGCCTGTAATCCCAGCACTTTGCGAGGCCAAGGCAGGCGGATCACGAGGTCAGGAGTTCGAGACCAGCCTGGCCAGCATGGTGAAACCCCATCTCTACTAAAAATACAAAAAAAATTAGCCGGGCATGGTGGCACATGCTTGTAGTCCCAGCTACCCAGGAGGCTGAGGCAGGAGAACTGTTTGAACCTGGCAGGCAGAGGTTGCAGTGAGCCGAGATTACGCCATGGCACTCCAGCCTGGGGGACAGAACGAGACTCCGTCTCAAAAAAAAAAAAAAAAGAAAAAATACAAAATTAGTTGGGTGTGGTGGCGCATGCCTGTAATCCCAGCTTCTTGGGAGGCTGAGGCAGGAGAATGGCTTGATCCCGGGAGATAGAGGTTGAAAAAAAAAAAAAATTAACAAAAGCACAAATTTGGAATCGCAATTTTCTGGCTAAGTTTCCAAGCTGCTGTACTCAAAACCCCTGAGAAGCAGCTGCAGGATTAACAGATGCACCGATACCTCCAGGCTAAAATGTAGATGTCAACACATTTCTGGCAACACATGCAGAATTCAGTGGACACCTTTTATCTCTGCTAATATTCACAGTAACTCAACAGGGTGCTTTTCCAAGACTTCTTGATCGGTGGCGGGGGGAGTCCTATAAAACATCAGCCAAATTTGGATGTCGAGGGCAGTGAGTTGTGATTGAAAGAATAAGTAGTTCTTAGGCCGGACGCGGTGGCTCAGGCCTGTAATCCCAGCATTCTGGGAGGCCAAGGCGGGTGAATCACGAGGTCGGGAGATCGAGACCATCCTGGCCAACACAGTGAAACCACGTCTCTACTAAAAAACAAATACAAAAAATTAGCCGGGCGTGGTGGCGGGCGCCTGTAGTCCCAGCTACTCAGGAAGCTGAGGCAGAATGGCGGGAACCCGGGAGGTGGAGCTTGCAGTGAGCCAAGATCGCGCCACTGCACTCCAGCCTGGGCGACAGAGCGAGACTCCGTCTCAAAAAAAATAAATAAAAAATAAAATAATAGTAATAATAAGTAGTTCTCATTCAGACTGTTCTATGTCCTCCCTGCGGGACGGGCACAAGTCAGTTAACCTCAGGGAGCCAGGCTTGCTTAAACCAGAGACCTCAAGCATCATTTCAGAATTATAGTCATGTCTGTTCTTTGGGGGCATTTTTATCTCATCACCTTCTAGAATGACAGAGTCATCATTTCTAAATGGAACTTCAAGGCCAGGTACAGTGGCTCATGCCTGTAATCCCAGCACTCTGGGAGGCCAAGGAGGGAGGAAGGCTTGAGCCCAGGAGTTCAAGACCAGCCTAGGCAACAAGATCGCTACAAAAAATAAAAAGCAGTCTAGGCATGGTGGCTCACCCCTGTAATCCCAGCACTTTGGGAGGCCGAAGCAGGTTAGGAGTTCAAGACCAGCCTGGCCAACATGGTAAAACCCCATCTCTACTAAAAATACAAAAATTAGCCAGGCGTGGTGGTGAACACCTGTAATCCCAGTTACTTGGGAGGCTGAAAAAGGAGAATTGCGTGAACCCATGGGGCAGAGGCTGCGGTGAGCCAAGATCACGCCACTGCACTCCAGTCTGGGTGACAGAGCAAGACTCTGTCTCAAAAGTAAAAAATAAAAATAAAAACTTAGCCAGGCATGGTGGCATGCACCTGTAGTCCCAGCTACTCAGGAAGCTGAGGCAGGAGGATCACCTGAGCCCAGGAGCTGGAGGCTACAGTGAGCTATGATTGCACCAGCGCGCTCCAGCCTGGGCGACAGAGCAATTCCCTGTTTTTCTTTTTTTTTTTTTTGAGACGGAGTCTCGCTCTGTCGCCCAGGCTGGAGTGCAGTGGCCGGATCTCAGCTCCCTGCAAGCTCCGCCTCCCGGGTTTACGCCATTCTCCTGCCTCAGCCTCCTGAGTAGCTGGGACTACAGGCGCCCGCCACCTCGCCTGGCTAGTTTTTTGTATTTTTTAGTAGAGACGGGGTTTCATCGTGTTAGCCAGGATGGTCTCGATCTCCTGACCTCGTGATCCGCCCGTCTCGGCCTCCCAAAGTGCTGGGATTACAGGCTTGAGCCACCGCGCCCGGCCTCCCTGTTTCTAAATACATACATACATACATACATACAGAAATAAATGGAACTTCAGGGAAGAAAGCAGCAGCATCTACCACTCCTCTCTTTTGTGTTGTGATTCATACTTCCACATTCTGTCATCACGATTAGCCCCAGAGCCATGATGGACAGATATTATCATCTCCAATTTACAGATGAGGAAAGAGCCTGGCTGTCCATTGAGCAGGTCCCCTGAGCCCCTTGTGGGCCAGGACAGTGTCTTATCTCTGTATCCACAATGCCTCAGACATAGTAGGAGCTCAATAAATGTTTAATTGAACTCAAGGTCATGTGCCCACAATCATTTGACTGCTAAGCAGGGATTCAAACCTAGGTTCTCCCACCTCCAGACTCAAGCTCTGGTTCATAGACCATAAAGGGCATCCCCTCGTCAGGCTAGAAGTATGCCTGGATCATTACATAAGGCATTCCTCATTTTAAAAAAATCAAGAGCAGCCAGGCATGGTGGCTCACACCTGTAATCCCAGCACTTTGGGAAGCTGAGGCAGGAGGATTACTTGAGCCCAGGAGTTTGAGACCAGCCTGGGCAACATAGCAAGATCCCATCTCTATTTTTCTTTTTTTTTTTTTTGGAGATGGAGTCTCACTCTGTCGCCCAGGCTGGAGTGCAGTGTTGCTATCTCGGCTCACTGCACCTTGAACTCTGCCTCCTGGATTCAAGCAGTTCTGCCTCAGCCTCCTAAGTAGCTGGGATTACAGGCACCCACCACCATGCCTGGCTAACTTTTGTATTTTTAGTAGAGACAGGGTTTCACCATGTTGGCCAGGGTGGTCTTGAACTCCTGACCTCAGGTGATCCACCTGCATTGGCCTCCTAAAGTGCTGGGATTACAGGCGTGAGCCACTGCGCACGGCCCTCACCTCTATTTTTAAAAAGAAAAAAGAAAAATAAATTGAGGCCAGGCATGGTGGCTCACACTTGTAATGCCAGCACTTTGGGAGGCCAAGGTGGGCAGATCATGAGGTCAGGAGTTTGAGACCAGCCTGGCCAACACAGTGAAACCCCGTCTCTACTAAAAATACAAAAATTAGCCAGGCACGGTGGCAGGCGCCTGTAATCCCAGCTACTCCGGAGGCTGAGGCAGGAGAATCACTTGAACCCGGGAGGTGGAGGTTGCAGTGAGCTGAGAGCACGCCACTGCACTCCAGCCTGGGTGACAGAGCCAGACTCCATCCCGACAAAAAAAAATTTAATCAAATAAAATAAACCGAGAGTGCCTAGATGGCGGGGAAGATGCTGGTAGAGATGACTGATGCTCTTTGGGATCTCACGCGATAGTTTTAGGGACTACGAGTGTCATTCAGGGAAAATGAGGCATCTCTGTGACTTCTATTCTCTATCAGATGACAATGAAAGTTATCCAGATTGTTGGCCGGGCACGGTGGCTCATGCCTGTAATTCCATCACTTTGGGAGGCCAAGGCGGGTGGATCACCTGAGTTCAGGAGTTCGAGACCAGCCTGGCCAACATGGCGAAACCCCGTCTATACGAAAAATACAAAAATTAGCCGGGCGTGGTGGTGCACACCTGTAATCCCAGCTACTTGTTAGACTGAGGCAAAAGAATCGCTTGAACCCGGGAGGTGGAGCTTGCAGTGAGCCGAGATTACGCCACTGCACTCCAGCCTTGGGCAACAGAGCGAGACTCTGTCTCCAAAAAAAAAATAAAAAAAGAAAAGAAAAAAAGAAATCTGTACTTGTACCCTCTAAATATATAAACATTAGGTTATAAAATTGAACTAATCTATGATGGTAGAGAGAATTGAAGTGGAGCTTGAGGCGAACTTGTCCCCAGTCACCACAGCTCTGAGTTTGGTGACGGGAGGCTCATCTTTGCTTGGGATGAAGCAGAAAAATGACCACTCCCAGGATGAGATGGAGCGGTCACTTCCTTTGGTCAGTAAGGGAGTGGCTTTCGGGACGCACCCCCAAACGATGATGTTTAGGGGACCCTCTCAGGGCCTACAAGGATCTGGGTCTCCTCCTCTCCGTCATTATTCTATTTTGCCAGCAGTGCCTAGAACTCCGTTCTGCTTCAAGCCGCAGAGTGGAGGAGAAGACACCGAGGCTTGGAGATGCTGTTTCATGGAGTCCTGGCTTTGCGGAAAAGTGGGCTTGGGGGGCAGCAGTGGGGAGGGGTTCTCCAAAGAAGAGAGGCTGCTGTGGTGAAGGGACAGAGGGAAGGAGCCCCCAGGGCCTCCCGATGCCACTGCGGTAGGAGGGTCCCCTCTCCTCTCCCCCATCTCTTCTCCTCCCCAGCAGGTCCCCCGCATCCTCTCTCGGGCGCAGCCCACCCTCTGCTGCCTTCCTGGTCTCTTTCGGGGGCTCCTACCTTCAGCTTGCACTGTGGAGGACATGGCTGTTCTTGGGGACACGCCCAGGAATGATGCGGGGGTGCCTCAGTACGGGGTGGGAAAAGCCCCCTTAAACTCCAGAAGCCAAGCAGTCACCGGGGGGGCAGCGACCGACATGAAGGAGGGACCAGACAGACGGCCATGGGGCACAAGCCATCGGGGGCGTTGGGAGGCCCAGGAGGAACTGGGCAGCGCCGGGTCTCGCCAGGGACAGAATGCGGCCTCACAATCCTGCCCCACCGCCAAGATTCTCAGGTTCTGAGCCTGGAGTCCGGCTGCTAGCCAGTGACTCATGGCGCCCACAGCCAGGTGCCACCCCTCGGAGCTGGGATGCTTTGGGGAGAAGCCGGATTAATACCAATGCCAAGGGAATCCTTGATTAAAACCCTGACTTATGAGAAGTGGCAATGGAGAACCAGCCACATGAATACAAAATGTGACAAGACAATGCCCAAGTTGTCAAGTGACAGATGCCCAAGCCAGCAGCCCAGTTTCAGGCTTTCCCTGAGGCCCTAGAAAGTGTCTTTAGGGGCCAGGCGCAGTGGCTCACGCCTGTAATCCCAGCATTTTGGGAGGCCGAGGTGGGCAGATCACCTGAGGTCAGGAGTTCGAGACCAGCCTGGCCAACATGGTGAAACCCTGTCTCTACTTAAAATACAAAAAATTAGCTGGGTGTGGTGGTACGCACCTGTAATCCCAGCTACTCGGGAGGCTGAGGCAGAAGAATCGCTTGAACCTGGGAGGCAGAGGTTGCAGTGAGTCAAGATCACGCCACTGCACTCCAGACTGGGGGACAAGAGCGAGACTTTGTCTCAAAAAAAAAAAAGAAAAAGTGTCTTTAGGGTCAGTTGAGGTGAGAAGACAGCTGATCCGTGAGTAGGCAGGAGTGGCCCCTCAGTTCCATGAACCAAGCCCCCCTCAGAAACCCCCACCTCAGGCTGGGCTCATGCCTGTAATGCTCATGTCTGGTGGCTCATGCTTATAATCTCAGCACTTTGGGAGGCTGAGACGGGAGGATGGCTTGAACCCAGGAGTTTGAGACCAGCCTGGGCAACACAGTGAGATCCCATCTCTACAAAAAATAAATTTTTTTTTTAAAAAAAAGATCATTCATTCATTCTAGTGGATCATTTTCCTTACTTTCCTGGGACAATTCCTTTTTGCATTTATAATGTAGCATTAGAAAAAGGGATATGGGGCCGGGTGCGGTGGCTCACGCCTGTAATCCCAGCACTTTGGGAGGCCGAGGCGGGCGGATCACGAGGTCAGGAGATCGAGACCATCCTGGCTAACACGGTGAAACCCCGTCCTACTAAAAGTACAAAAAAAATTAGCCGGGCGTGGTGGCAGGCGCCTGTAGTCCCAGCTATTTGGAAGCCTGAGGCAGAAGAATGGCAGAGGATGCAATGAGCCAAGATCGCGCCACTGCACTCCAGCCTGGGCAACGGGCGAGACTCCATCTCCAAAAAAAAAAAGAAAGAAAGAAAGGGATATGGGCTGGGCGCGGTGGTTCATGTCTGTAACCAGAGCACTTTGGGAGCCAAGGCGGATGGATCACTTGAGGTCAGGAGTTCGAGACCAGCCTGGCCACACAAACATGGTGAAATCCTGTGTCTACTAAAAATACAAAAACTAACCAGTTGTGGTGGTGCGCACCTGTAGTCCCAACTACTCAGGAGGCTAGGGTGAGAGGATCGCTTGAGGCTACGAGGTCAAGACATGGCCTCCCAACGTGCTGGGATTACAGGAGTGAGCCACCATGCCTGGCCCCTTTAGTTTTCGAGAAACCCTTTTCCATGGAAACACAATCCTCCTGTATTCCTGTATCCAGGAACTATGACTTGTAGTCTGTCGTGTGTGTGTGTGTGTGTGTGTGTGTCTGTGTCTGTGTCTGTGTCTGTACAGCCTTATTGAGGTGTAATAATGATGTCTTGCTTTTTTTTTTTTTTTTTTTTTAAGAGACAGGGTCTTGCTGTGTTGCCCAGGCTGGTCTCAAACTCCTGAGCTCAAGTGATCTCCTGCCTCAGCCTGCCAAAGTGGTGGGATTACAGGCATGAGCCACTGCTCCCAGCCCTTGTGTCTTGCTTTTAAAGCCTACACAGGCTTCTTATACATCACATGACCTAGACTAGTCCCGGCCCCTGTCACCCGCAAGTCTCTGTGTACCCCTCCCACTATCAGAGTAATGTTCCTTCAGTGACTATGCTCAGCTGAGCCACCAGCTCTCCCTGCTTACAAAACCTTCAGTGGCTCTCTGCAGCCCACGGTGTGAGATCCTGGCCCTTCAGCATGCCATTCGGGACCACCCTGCCCTGCACCCGGTGACCCTGAGTGCCTGAGAGAAGCACCTTCCACGCGAGCTGCTTTTTTTTTTTTTTTTTTTTAATAAGGAGTTTCACTCTTGCTGCCCAGGCTGGAGTGCAGTGACACGATCTCGGCTCACCGCAACCTCCGCCTCCCGGGTTCAAGCAATTCTCCTGCCTCAGCCTCCCGAGTAGGTGGGATTACAGGTGTTGTGCCATCATGTCTGGCTAATTTTTCTATTTTTAGTAGAGAAGGGGTTTCACCATGTTGGCTAGGCTAGTCTCGAACTCCTCACCTTAAGTGATCTGCCTGCCTCAGCCTCCCAAAGTGCTGGGATTACAGGCATGAGCCACCGTGCCCGGCCTATGTTTTTCTTTTTTTTTTGAGACAGAGTCTCACTCTGTCGCCCAGGGTGGAGTGCAGTGGCACGATATTAGCTCACTGCAAGCTCTGCCTCCCAGGTTCACGCCATTCTCCTGCCTCAGCCTCCCAAATAGCTGGGACTACAGGCGCCCACCACCACACCTGGCTAATTTTTTGCATTTTTAGTAGAGACAGGGTTTCACCGTGTTAGTCAGGATGGTCTTGATCTCCTAACCTCATGATCCGCCCGTCTCGGCCTCCCAAAGTGCTGGGATTACAGGCGTGAGCCACCGCGCCCGGCCGTTTTTCTTAATTTGACTTCCTGTAGATCAATAGGCATATTTTATCTTTGGCCGCCTCTGCAAGCCTTTCCATACCTCAATCAAATTCTCCTTCTCGTTTCTCTGAATCACTTCCACCATCTGCCCCCATCCCTGACCTTTCACGGGCACTTACTGGACACTTACAATACCTAAAGATCTATGCCTGGCAGTGAAGGAGCTGGTCAAACCACGCATTAAGAAATCCACATTCCTGGTCAGAGAGAGCCTCGAGGCGGGAGGCCTTTAGGGACACGACACCGTTTAGCCACCAGGGGGCATGGATATGGCCCCTGGTGACTTGTTTAAAGAAAGACAGAAGGGACAGGAGGAATTCATGTCATCCCAGGCATCTGTCCCAGCCCTGCCGCTGAGCTGATGAGCTGATGAGCTCGAACGGACAATGACTGGGTTTTTGACAGTTCAGTATGTGAAAGAATTCAAATTTACTGCTGTTGGAATTTTAAATTATTCTGACCCTTGAGAGGAATGTGGCTAGGTGGCTTGACTCATATTGCATGCAGCTCTTTTTTTTTTTTGAGATGGAGTCTTGCTCTGTTGCCCAGACTGGACTGCAGTGGTGTGATCTCGGCTTACTCCAACCTCCGCCTCTCAGGTTCAAGCAATTCTCCTGCCTCAGTCTCCCGAGTAGCTGAGATTACAGGCGCCCACCACCATGCCCAGGTAGTTTTTGTATTTTTAGTAGAGATGGGGTTTCACCATGTTGACCAGGCTGGTCTGAACTCCCAACCTTGTGATCCACCTACCTCGGCCTCCCAAAGTGTTGGGATTACAGGCATGAGCCACTGCGCCTGGCAACTTCTGCCTTTTTTTTCTGTAAAAAAGTAGGAAGACTAGGCCGGGAGTGGTGGCTCATGCCTATAAACCCACTGCTTTGAGAGGCTGAGGCAGGAGAATGGCTGGAGCCCAGGAGTTCCAGACCAGCTAGGGCAACATAGTGAGACCCTGTCCCTATAACACTGTTTTTAATAAATAATTAGGAAGACTAAATGGAGCCAGAGATAAGACTATCACAGATTACGATCCCTACAGAGTAATAAATTATCTTCCTTGAAACTACATCAATAAAATCGCTGTAATGTATACACTGGTCTCATACAGAAAATGTAATCTTGGCTGGGCGTGGTGGCTCATGGTTGTAATCTCAGCACTTTGGGAGGCCAGAGCAAGCAGATCGCTTCAGTTCAGGAGTTCAAGACCAGCCCGGGGAACATGGTAAAACCCCATCTTTACTAAAAATACAGAAAAAATAGCTGGGTGTGGTGGTGCACACCTGTAGTCCCAGCTACTTGGGAGGCTGAAGTAGGAGAAACACTTGAACTTGAGAGGCGGAGGTTGCAGTGAGCTGAGATAGCGCCACTGCACTCCAGCCTGGGTGACAGAGTGAGACTCTGTCTCAAAAGAAAAAAAAGGCAGACACAGTGGCTCACGCCTGTGATTCCAACACTTTGGGAGGCCAAGGTGGGCAGAGCAACTGAGGTCAGGAGTTCAAGACTAGCCTGGCCAACATGGTGAAACCCCATCTCTACTAAAAAAATACAAAAATCACCCAGGCACGGTGGCATATGCTGTAATCCCAGGTACACAGGAAGCTGAGGCAGAAGCATCACTTGAACTCAAGAGGCGGAGGTTGCAGTGAGCCAAGATTATGCCACTGCACTCCAGCCTGGGTGACAGAGTGAGACTCTGTCTCAAAAAAATAAATAGCCAGGCATGGTGGCTCACGCCTGCAATGCCAGCACTTTGGGAGGCTGAGGCGGGCAGATCACCTGAGGTCAGGAGTTCAAGACCAGCCTGGCCAACATGGTGGAAGCCCACCTCTACTAAAAATACAAAATTAGCTGGGCGTGGTGGCACATGCCTGTAATCCCAGCTACTCGGGAGGCTGAGGCAGGAGAATCTTTTGAATCTGGGAAGCAGGGTTTGCGGTGAGGTGAGATTGCGCCACTGCACTCCAGCCTGGGCAGTAAGAGCAAAACTCTGTCTCAAAAATAAATAAATAAATAAATATAACAAAAAAAAATTTTTTTTTGAGACGGAGTCTCACTCTGTTGCCCAGGCTGGAGTGCAGTGGCCAGATCTCAGCTCACTACAAGCTCTGCCTCCCGGGTTTACGTCATTCTCCTGCCTCAGCCTCCCGAGTAGCTGGGACTACAGGCACCCGCCACCACGCCCGGATAGTTTTTTGTAATTTTTTAGTAGAGACGGGGTTTCACTGTGTTAGCCAGGATGGTCTCGATCTCCTGACCTCATGATCCGCCCGTCTCAGCCTCCCAAAGTGCTGGGATTACAGGCTTGAGCCACCGTGCCCAGCCAACAAAATAATTTTTTTAAAAAAGAAAATGTAATTCTGCTAAAACTTCTCTGTCTCTGCCTATCTCTGCCAATGCAAGTTAAATCTTAACTTCTCCGCTTCAGAATGCTGGCCTTCATCTTTCGGGAGTTGGTGTTCCTGGTGGTCATCCTTAAGCTATATACCTAACTGTATTTTCTCAATTACATTATTTAAGGTTGACAAGTATGCCAACTC